ATTAATGAAATCTTGAGTGCTCTTACACTTGATAAGAAGATTTAGTTCCATATAGAAAGTAAGAAGGGCCTTCGTAGATTCCTTCATTCTCCACCATCATGGCTTCTCCATTTTTCATTTTCTCGAGAACGACTTCCAGATTCGCTTTGAAGACGTACCGACCCGAGGAATCTTTCTTCAACGGATAAGAAACGTCGTGCCGAGTTTGGCGGCTGTCTTGAGGGTGCTGAAAGAGAGGGAAAAAGGTTTTAAAATAAATTTACAGATTTGTATAAAACAAGCTAAGTGTCACTTCAGCTCAAGAAAACCAAATCCTATTAGAACAAGATGCCGTAAAATATTCATGCGATATCTTTACGATGCTGTATGGCATTCAGAATACCGCAGCAACATCGTGGAGATATCGTAGAATATCTTGTAATAATAGGGTAGAGTCCGTAAAATGGCGACTAGACTATTGACTAGTCGGACAAGAGGAAAAATGAGCCTCGTTAATAATAAAATGCCCGCCCCCGGGTGGGCTCGAACCACCAACCTTTCAGTTAACAGCCGAACGCGCTAGCCACAGAGGCCTCGGAAGTAAATTCTTGCTTTGGTGAATGGTGGAGTATACCTTTGGAGAAAGACAAGAGGAAAGATGATCCTCGTTAATATCAAAATGTCCGCCCCCGGGTGGGCTCGAACCACCAACCTTTCGGCTAACATTGACACTACGGGCAGCCCCGCTTTTGTGTTCTTGCGAACTCTAATCCTTTCGGCTAACAGCCGAACGCGCTAGCCGACTGCGCCACGGAGGTCTCGTAGAGATTCATTGCTTTGGCGAATGGTGGAGTATATATTTGGAGAAAGACGAGAGGAAAAAGGAGCCTCGTTAATAATAAAATGTTCGCCCCCGGGTGGGCTCGAACCACCAACCTTTCGGTTAACAGCCGAACGCGCTAGCCGATTGCGCCACGGAGGCCTCTAAAATACAGCATTGATTAGGCGAATGCACATCGCCGTGGGTGGGCGGGAGCGTCTGTGTTTGGTTTACATATTCAACTAATTGCCGGGGAGGACGGGGATTTCAAATGTCGATTTTCACCCGAAAAATTTTGCTTTAAATTAAACAGGTCAATTAAGCCATTTATGAAGGTTAATGTAAAGGAAATTTGCTGAATAGAGTCACTACGTTGTTTATGTGATGCTATTCATATGCATCACGCCAATTCAGTTTTTGAATCCATTGTAGGAGTAAAAAGCACGGATAAACTACAGCTAACTATTTACAACTACAAATAACCAAGAAATAGAAATATAAGCTGATGTCTAACCCGCACGATCGTACAGGCTCGGTCTTAAAGAGTTAAAGAAATTGAAACATATTACACTAAGGATCCAAAGAGCAAAGGGAGACACCGAAGACTTATCAATGACTAGCACTCCCATGACCTGATGCCCCACCTCACCATTGGTACCCACCATTTTTTTCTATTTCATATAACACATCCTGACTTTTCTTGGTTATATTTCAACAATAATATATAACTAAACATAAAAGCAATTTGTTACTTAAACCCAGTTATAGCAATACATGTGATTGCCGTTCCGAAAAACCCCATTTTAAGTCGGAAGAAGACTACGAGAGCCTCTCGAAATGCTGCTTTGAATATTTCACCGGTTCGAGAACCCGGGGGCGAATATTCTATTATTAACGAGGCTCCTTTTTCCTCTCGCCTTTCTCCAAATATATACTCCACTCAGCTGGGACTCCACTTCGGCTGTTAACCGAAAGGTTGGTGGTTCGAGCCCACCCGCGGCCGAACATTATATTATTAACGAGGCTTCTTTTTCCTCTCGTCTTTCTCCAAATATATACTCCACCATTCGCCAAAGCAATGAACCTCTTCCGAAGGATCCGTGGCGCAATCG